TAACAAAAATTTTTTTTTAAAAAATTTTGGTTTTTTGGGGGGAAAAAAGGGCAAAAAAAAAAAAAAAAAAAAAAAAAAAAAAAAAAAAAAAAAGAGTAAAGTCAAAATAATACCAGAATAAAGTTGTAGTACAAGAATACTCATAACACTAACACTTTGTTGTTGAAGTTTATGATTTTACTCTCGTAATGAAGTAGTTGTTTTTCTTAGCATAGCCCCAACAATCCATCGTGCATTTTAAAATCCTGCTATTGATGATAATCTGATGCTAAATACTTAATAGATTATGTAAATAAGTATTTCTTTATTTGTAAAACCATAAAAGTAAAACTTCACAAGATGATAAACATTCCTCAATTTACAAGAGTGGTAAAATTATTTTTTTCATGTTGCAGTTCTCATAATATGACTTTACTCTCTTAATACGACTTTATCCTGATATAATTTCAACTTTATTCTGGTATTATTAAAACTTTATTCTCAAACAACTATTCTGGTAATTTTATGACTTTAATCTTGTAATACTCCATGTAAGACCTCATACAGACTTCAGTTTCTCCAGACCACCGACATCTTTCCATAGTTTTTTAATTAAGACCGATTGACAGAATATGCTTGGGGTCACAGAGTGCGTTCCTGCTCGATAGCATCGCAAAATCTCCAACAATTGAATGTAGAATGGGTAAACTGATTAACCTCGGCCCAGCAGCTGCCTGCTTCCAGAATAATTCAAGGTTGCCAACACACAACGACCAAAACAGGATGTTAGAGTCCGACCGAGCATCAGATTACACTGCCGTGGAAGCTCATTTGACATCTTGCGCTCATTTGTTAGCACATCGCAGGGCTGAACAAAAGGTTGGGACTGATGGCAAGCATTACAGAGCGCTGTGACATTGAGTCCTAGTTGTTAAACTTGAAGAAGTGCGAACAATGTGGCTGTTAAACCACAAAGCACATCACAAGATGCTTCCACTTTAAAGCAGACAGAAAGGCATTTATCTGGCTGATGCCGACAAAAACCCGTTCACACGTGCTCATTGTCACACTGCTTTGATTTTAGAGAAGTGAGGAACTGGTAATGTCAGCAAGACTTCTGGAGCCGAGACGTTCATGCAAATGGAGTCGGCTTCCTGCTGCGGTTTACATAAGACACCTGGACAAGAGGCTCCGTCCTGCTTTAGCCAGCAGGGACCACAAGTCATAAGCCTGAAGACGTATGCACAGAGAAGCCGGGCTCAAACTATTAAACAGAATGATTCAGTTATTCAAATAATCGTCAACTAATTTAGTAATCAATTAATCGCTAACCAGACTCAAAAAAGGTTATTCACTGAAAAAAAACCAAGCATTTATTGCTGTATTAAAGCTAATAATACAATGTATAAACACATTGTACAAAATATGTTTATACACATTTTGCAATTAAGATGAAAACATCTTTGTAAATATGTTTTACCAGAAACTCCTCAAGTGTCAAAGTTTTAGCTCCACCTGGTTCAATATCGGTAAAAGAATGATATGCTATTGCATTTTAAGCACTAAAATGTTTATTTTCTTAATTACAACAGGAAATGAATTATTTGTTTATTTGCATCTTTTAATGCTGCAATATGCAAGTAATACAAAAACATTTTTTTCCATATTTGCCAAAACTGTCACCATATTGTGACCATATGAGATGGGTAGCCTGGTGCCCTCACTCAATGCTGCTCTGTGCTAATGCTAGAGAAACAACTCACTGTTACAAGAAAACCATTCATCCGCCATAATCAGTGGCTATGCTAACTAGCATTAGCATTTATGGCAGGTTATGTTGTGGTGAACCAGCTGCAGCGTAGCAGAGAGCAAGGTATATGGGGTGAGCATGCGAATGATTGACAGCGCTAAGACACTCCTCCTAGCTCTGATTGGTTGTTTCTGACCGAGTTGTGCAGTTGGTACTGAAAGCCCTGGCAGAAGGCAGAGGAGCTTGATTTGTCTCATACTGTCGCAATAAAAACATTTTTGTAAAAGTTACACGCTGCAGCTATATTTCTAAATATTTTATAAAAACACTTAAGTGATTAAATGAAAAATCTGTAGAATGTGACAATTTCTTTAAATTGAATTAAACGCCAGAATAAATCGACAGAATAATCAATTAGTTGCAGCCCTATACATGTGTGCATGCGTGTGTACTCACGTAGGAAATGTTTCTCCAATAAGGCAATTTCCAAGTGACCTTTGACTTCGCTGAGGCGTTCCGACTCCGACCTCTGGAAGTCCTGAACGGCAGCTGCCATGGTGGGAGACCCTGAACCAGCCTGCGCATGTACACACACACAAACACACACAGTCAAAGATAAGTAAAATCTAAAACACGTTAGCACTTGGACAGGAAAAGCCTACATGATCCGACACACACACACAGATCAGCACAGACCTATGACTCACACCAATGTTTCCTCTCCAAGTTTAGGACCAGCAGGAGCGAGGAAGGCAGGGAGGAAGAGGAGAATCCCCCGCTTTCCCCCCACAACTATTGCACTGATGACTCAAACCGTTTTCAACCCTGACACACACAAACACAACAAGCAGGCAAGGTGGAAGCAGTGAACGGCAGAGAGAGCTGGGAGAACGGGTGATGCAAGGAGCAGAGAGATGACTGTGCTAGTGGAGGATGAGCACTGCAGGTTGAGCATCTACAGCGAGGGTCCTTTAAGACTTCTGCCAAACACACACACACACACACACGTACATGCTGCAGCAGTAGCTTATAGCCGACTGCAGCCGGAACGGTTTGAGTGGTTTTCCCCGCTTAGATGCACTGCAACGTCTCAAACTGATAAAAATGAGGCGTAGAAGGGAAGAGGCAGCACGGAAAAGAAAGATGACTCTCAGGACGTTAGCTTAAGGATGGATCCAGCACCCTTAAATAAAGAAGCACTTGAAGGAAATCAAACAAGAGCGTCTTCAGTAATCGTAGGGTGTGAGACTTAAATGAAAGAGGAGGATGAAAACATGGAGGAGGCTGAGGGAGAGGAGAAGGAAGCTCTGCTGCATTATCGGCTCGGATTTTGCCGGTCTCTGCGTCATGACGACGATATCCACAGATGGTAAACAAACACACCTGCAGGATGTTTGATGCCATCAGATCTCCCCACCAACTGGGTAGCACAAGTAGGTCGAGCGCTGCCGACGTCACAACTAATGATCATCGGCGGGTCAATTATTGCCTATCCGCTCTTCCCCTTAGTGATGGAGGCTGAAATTAGCCTGACAGGACCGTCATCTATCCTTCGTCTGATACGAAGGGACACATTTGTATACAAGCATGGACTACTGCTGAAAAACTCACATGGACCACTTAAAATAATACCCAGTGAAACCGAGATCAATATTTTAAATTGTGTTGTAGTAAAATCTCTTGTTTTCAAATGCAAAATGATTTGGAAAATCTTGAAGACACCCCAGATTATTCCTATAAACATTTCCAGAGGCCAGTCAGGGGGGAACCGGAAGAATCGTCTTTGAATTCAGGACACTCCGAGGTTTCTCTGATTTACTCTCGTCCCGTCTCTGACAGGATGAGAGTGGGAGTGAGATGCGTCGAGGAGCAGATTTAATCCACTTCCAATCCTGCTCCGAAGGCATGTCCTGTTTACTGAACAGCTCTCCCAGCATCCACACAGCCGGATCTTCAACGTGAATGTTGCCACCGCGACCAGGATGAGGGAATATCCCCAACAAGAACAACAACCTTCTTCTGGATCACATGGTTGCCATACAGACAGAGAGAACATGTCCTACTTTATGGCAGAAAATGCCCTCTGGAATCTCAAGATTCTTTACATAGTTTCTTCTTTGGCGTGCATTTCAAATCTGCAGCTCTTTCAGGGTTTCCACCAGCTTATTATAAGCCTGGCGGGCCACCAGGCTAAGCATTGTTTGTTTGTTTATTAGAGGGTTTCCTGTACAACAGCAACTGTGGTAGCAAAGACATGTTCAAGAGTCTCTGGTGAAATGGTTGGAAGCAAGACGTCAACATAGTATGGTCAGGACATGAACACATAGGGGGACTGAGGTCAGGTGTCACTGGAACTCCATAACCACTGCACTAACAACTTTAACAAAGTGACAAGTCACTGATAAAGGACAAAAATAATTTTGCACACTTTAATTAGGATGAAACAACTCCAGTGCAAAAAACTGATATTTACTGTAATTGCATTCAGGCCTGGTCAGAATATGCGAGTCTCCATTTTAGGTCTGGACGTTGTTGGGGTCATTTCAACCCATGAACTTATCTTGATTCTATCATGACATTGTAACTCTTAGAGGTTTAGGTACTTTTCCTTGCTAGAGGGTGAACTAGTCCGTTGCAGCCTCACTCAGCTTTATTCCAGGATAGCTCTTTATTCCCATCAGCTTCCATGAACTACATCTCTCATGGCAAACTGCAGATGGGATTTCTTCTTTCCACTCTTCTTGATTGCTTCTCTGATTAATGTCTACCCAACCCTGTCAGTCAGTTTCAGCTGACGGCAAAGTCTTGATAGATCTATTAACTAATTAGGCGACTTCTAAAGGCAACTGATTGCACTTATTTGGAAATACGAACACTGGCATTTTCCGGCTACATTATGCCATTCTAGCAGATAAAAACCAAAAACAACACAGTACAGTTTGTACTATGAATGTTTTATTCCTTAATTAACCAGTATAATTATTCTAAATCAAGCCTAATGTGATCATTGAAGTCACAGCAGTAAGTCCATTAGTCAAAGTGGGTGAGCTTCCATGTACACCACCTAAACAAGCCCGTCATAAAATACACACACCTGATTCTTCCCAGAACCATGCGGTGTAGATGGAGTTGTAAACCTTGAGGCATGTTTTAGTAAAATGACATGCATGTTTGATTGCGTGTGTCCCGGCAGAGTTGAGAGTCAGCTTCGTCTATTTTGGGGTGTAGAGAGTGACTCATCACTGCTCTGATGTGGGCGATGTCTTCCTGGTTGGCTGGTGCTTATAAAGGCAAATATTACTGCACATCTAGACACAAAAAAAAAACACTAGGTGACAGGCTCAGGGGTAGATATGAAAACACAGGAAAGTGGAGGGGAAAATTAGAAAATTTAAGTTTTTTATTTTTCCCCTTTTCAGATTAAAACATTTCAGAAACTTTTCTGTCCCTTCAGTGAACTAAAATTTTCAGGCCAGTATTCCACATGAGGCTCATTTGAAATTAAAGTGAAGCATTTCAAAAGGAGGACTCCGATCCACTAGGCTTCCAGTGAGCAAGTGATAAAAAAAAAACAAAGTACTTTCAATTTGAACATCTTTCTATCTGTGCAAGGACACGATGACGACAATGTTGGTAATTTTAGTCGCCAGCAGGGACAGTTTCTTCCACCCACCTAGATGCAAGAGAGGACAACCAGGAGTTCAAACCTCTGACGTCAAATTCAAGTCATTCAAGTCTCCATGCCTCCTTCGCCCCTTTTTTCTAGTTTAATCTCATCTCTTATATTTTCCATCCCCTTCCTGCTTTCTGATATCTCCTCATCTCACGGCTGCTCCTCCTATTTCCTCTGCTCACATACTGACAAGCAGATTGCCATCTCGGTGTCATGTCCACCATTAACCACATTCATCTCTCTTTTTCCGCTTTAATTATGGCGACCTCTTTTCTTCGTCCTCGTTTCATTCTCATGTTAGTTCTTTATCTCTGAGGGACAGAAACAACATCCCTCGGGTGAAAGAGCATATTTTTCCTCTGGAGAGGAAATGCTCCATTATAAAGGATAGAAGCTTTGCTCCCATGGGTTGTAATAAAAACAGCATTTCTTTTGACTCCAACCAGCTAAATAAAAAAAGCAAACTATTGCATAACGTTTTATCGTATAAAGATGAGAAACAGCCACTCACAGGGTCTCGCAGGACGTCCTCCGTGTCCCGCGGAGCTGCTCGGGGCTTCGGCGGCACGTCATCGTTACATTCGGTGTCGGAGGCAGGTGGCGACTCGCCCAGATCCGGGAAGTCGTCTCTCGACCTGGGACCTCGGAAGCGGATCTTGTCCAGGCGCTTTAGCATGGTCAACACCGCGCACCTGGGCTTTACCTTAACATGGCGGACGGCAACCCTGTAGGTACGCAAAACGGAGGGAAGCAGACTGTTAATGATCCTACTTTGTTTTGTTGCACTTGCGAAGCACATCGCTGCTGGGTTACAGTAGCCAATCAGCAGTTTGATACTAAACAGACAACATGATAAAAGGAAAAAAAAAACACAATGAAACAATTATTGCCCGACTGAAGGAGGGCTTAGTAGTCCCACTAGTGCTGGTCAATATGGCTCGGAAATAAAATCTGATTTTTTCAACCCAGATTTGATTTTAAAATCTTTTTTTTTTCTCTTGGTTTCTTTATAAAAAAGAAATTACAAATGAAATAGTTTTAAAAATTGGCTTTTATTTCAATCATCCCTGCAGTTGTACCAGAAAGGAAATGCAGGAATATAGTCACAAAACTAGCAGAATAAAGACGCAGTTTAACCAGAAGAATGTCTTAAAATTACCAGAAAAAAAGAAAAGAAAAAAAAAGACACATTGTTGTAGAGTTTATCTGAATTCAAAGACCAAATAAACAGGAGATGTAAAAAACCTCAATGATGAAAAAAAACCAAAAGATTTTCCAAAAATGTAATTCTGAAAAACCAAAAATTTAATTGGTAAAATTGTTTAATCGCAAAGCTCTTATTAGCACCCTTTGAACATTTGGAGATTTTTTTCACATTACAACCAAAATCGTCAAATGTCTTGGTATTTCATCAACACAATAGTGCATCATTTGTAAGTGGAAAGATATCGATACAGGGTTAGTCAAGAGTATTATTTTCCCCTCAACTCCAATAACATGTTCTTCTACAGAAAATGCATTATAGGCCCCCAATCAAACCAACGCCACCAGGTGTGAAAAACCTTACACTACGTTGATAGTCTATCAATTAAAAATACATTAAAGTTTGGGGTTAGTACTGTCCCAGAAACCATAATCACTGCAACCCTACAAATGCCAGCAGTTCACAGTGAGCAGCACTGTAAACACTTTGAAACCCTTTTCACCTTTACCAAAAAGGTCCAACGGGGTGACGTGGTGAACGCTGTAACCTTTAATGCTCTTTCAGTTTTAATCTCGTCCCTGTGGGGTTGGTTTCCCCCTTTAGCCCGGACAGAAACATGGGATGATTACATCTCGTTTCTCTTCTGGCTGCAGCGGATTTTATGACCTCAGATTGATTTAGCTTCCAAAAGTAAAGCCTTGGCCAAAACGCTGTGCTGGTGTCAGGAGCCTGATGACACGATGAAGCTCACAGAGAGCGCGCAGGTAACTTTTAGATTACAGAAGACAATTGTGCTTTCAAACATATTGTAAATGTGGCAATATAATGACGCAAATCAAATGTAGGTTTTCTTTAGTGAGACTTAACAGCTATATGACGCTTTCCCAGATATGAGCAGCCGTCCAAACATCCACGTTGTTTACCTAATGCTGGGATTTGTCGATTTGGTGACGGATTAGGAGTTGCTCTTTGTATAATCCTTTAAGATTACTTAATCTGCTTGATTGAGGACTGTCACACAACAAGATGACAAAGCTATATCTGAAGAAAAGTTCTGGAGTGAGAATAATGCTACCTTCAAAACAGAAATTATTAAATAGTTTAACCAAATTAGTAGGACTGAAAACTTTTTCTATTAAGAACAATTGAAATGATTTGAAGACCTGAGCAATGAAACCGTTTTAAGAAGCGAAATAAAAAACTAAAAAATGCAGTACTTTTAAAGATGACATGAATTCTTAGTTAAGTTCTGAATATTTATGTTGCACAGGAACTTTTTACAAATAAGTTTCCAATAGCTATGAGAAAGAAATCAATAGAAACCGGAGGTGTGCCGAGAGCCATTTCCTTCATCAATATCCTTTCTATATATGCTTTTTGGTTGTTGTTTTTTTTTTACCTCCATGAATCCCCACAGGTTTTTGTTTTGACTCTGATCTCCCACTTCTACAATCTTGGTCCGTTGCCAATTACAGTACTCATGACTAAAAGCAGTACCACAATGATTAATCCACTGCTACTCTGTTCTGTTTCTAATTTATGTGCAGAGGAGCCAAGGCAAAAATGTTTGTTCAATACTCGATAGGAAAATTAAAAGAAAAAGAATCATTAAATGTAGAATTAATGTCGTAAAACAGAGAAAACGGCATGTTTACAGAGGGTTACATTTGTAGTCTCATCTAACTGGCTTGTTCTAGGGCAGTTGGCTGAAGTATTTGAAATATGAGCTGAAGTGTCTTGTTCATGGACAGATATGAAGAATTTATTGCCAAATGCGAATCTTTTTCAGAGCACAACCTCCTAAATAACAAGATTTCATATTATATTTAAGGAAGTGGGCACTGAATCCAAGTAATAACATTGGCCATTTGGGTGGATGCCCACTGCCTTTAATATCTACAGAGATAAATTGGAGTCATTAAAAAAAAAAATAAATAATAAAATAAAACAAAAGTTGAAGCTCAAAAACAATTCTGAAACTGAAGATTTGAAACTGAAAAACTATTTTGAAACTGAAGAAAAAGGTCAAAACTACTTTTCAGATTCAAAGTTATTCTCACTTTCAAAGAAATCCTTTTATTTAAAATACTTGTGGCCCCAATTTAGTTTCATAAATGCACACTAAATAAGCTGAAAATTAGTTTTTAAGTTTATTATTAAACAGGGACAACACGCCAAAAAAAAAACCAAAAAAAAAAAAAAACACCTTAACCTAGTTTCCAGTTGCAGTTCCTGAACAGGTTAGCTAATAGTTTAAAATCATACAAGTTACATTTCACAGATTTCAGATTTGAATTTCAATGCCGACACAACCTTGCACACAGCGGCAGAGACACTGTACGAGGAGAAAAAAAAAATGTGGGAAGAGGTTTCTATTCGACAATTTTTCACACAAATATTAAGTTTCCTTGCACCACCCACGTGTATGCAGAAGTTACAGATGACTGGCGGGTTTGTGTTTCCTTTGCAGGGGGCTGAGTGGAAAGAGCGAGTGTCGGGTTAAGAAAGGCTCTCCAGCGGTTGTTAGGACACCTGTCAAAATTAAACACGTTCCCACGATAACATTCGTCTCTTTCCATCACTAAATCAGCTCTGGCTACCTGTACTCAAGTAAACGAATAAAAAGACTTAAATTAAAAAGTAGTTTAACTGAAATATATTAAAATGCACCATTTATTCCTTTAGAGAATGACGCATGTTTTCCACTCCCTCCTTTCCTTCAGGCCGCCTCCCGCTCACTTATTTATTTTCTTTTCAGACATTTGTTCTGTGCTCCAGAACCATATCCCAAACAGAAGGCATGAATAGAAGTAAGGAGAGGACAGGAGTAGGAGGAAGAAGAAGAAGAGTGGGTCTCTGCTCAAGGTCTGATCACTCTGAATGCGAGCAAATAAACAGCCCTCATGAGTCATTTGCTTCACTAAGTGCAAACACAAAAACCTTTTCCAAACACCTTCACTTCATCGTAAGTCGCTGCCGCTTACACAGAAATGATGACGTGCTTAGAAAATATACCAACAAATGAGCACATCAAAACAAAAACGGGAAAAAAACAAAACAAAAAAAAAACACAAGTGTGAGCTGGTAATGTTTGCATCTGTGATCATTAGTCGGGGTTGAATAGCAGTACAAGCTCCCTCTGCATCACTGATACAAGCTTAATGTCCTGTAGCACAGTGGAGATGTGCGAGTGTCTGAGTAATCTTCTGGCAATAAACCCTGAAGCTTGAGGTTACTCTTGGTCACAGTCGCTACTACAGCCGATCGCGAGACGGTCACTGAGCCCTGGCCTGCTGACCCGCGATTAATGCTTCTTAGTTGTAGTTTTAGCAAAAATGTTTACAGTCGGTGCAGGAATCTCAGAAAAACTTTTGAAACTGGTGTAAGTTTATGTAGGTGTCGTTAAAGTGTTGTACGTTTACTACAAATGCAGAAGGATTTTGGTAA